CTACGCAATACTTCTGCATGTGTTTTAAGAATGAATGGTTGTTTACTGCTTCAGTGATAAAAATTTTCTAACATGGATCAAGGAATGAGCTGACAAGTTTATAGGATATAAGGACGTAGGAGGAGACGCTGTTTGTTTTTATTATGAAATGCATTATGGGTTCTCTTGGTGTAAAATGCTTATTCTGCACTCACTTCAGCTTCTCCAGTTTACAGCTGAGACCCTCCAGTACAGCAGAGAACCGCTTCACTCCTGAGTCTCCTGGGTGATTGTAGCTCAGGTCCAGCTCTCTCAGGTGTGAGGGGTTTGACCTCAGAGCTGAAGCCAGGGAAGAACAGCCTTTTTTTGTGACACTACAGCCTGCCAGCCTGCAGAAAGGAAATCAAAATAATGTTTCCTACAGCAGTCTACTCACATGTACTTGTCTATTTGGCTGTGCAAAATAATTTAGGTGCAGTGTGTGGCTCAGTGGGCTAAGCTTGTGTGCCTGTAATCAGAAGGTTGTCAGTCCAAACCCAGCCTCAGCACATGAGGCCCCTAACCCCCAGCTTTCTGGGCACCCCAACAGGTGACTGCCCCTCACGGACAACTTGCTCTACCAAAAAAAACAAAAAAAAAAAAAACAAAAGAGCAAGCAGACGGAGGCATAAAAAGACAATTTCCCCACAGGAATCAATTATTATTCATTTTGTGTGAAAAGGAGAGACCATTAGGAGTGGTAAGCTTTTAGGAGTTTAGTGACTGCTTGTCTGCGAAGATGTAATTGTATCATAGTGAACCTACACTACTCACTGAAGCTCACCTTTTAATCTGACATTCCTGAAGTCACTGTGAATTAACGGCCATAAATTGGCAGAGGTGGAGATTTCAGGTCCAAAGAGTACAAATCCAGACCAGGATTTTGTTTCAACCAACCAGTTGAATATTCTGTGACGGTGACTCTTTATGCTCAACTGGTTGGTTGAAACAAAATCCTGGTCTGGATTTGTACTCTCTGGACCTGAAATCGCCACCTCTGTAAATTAGCATTTCATTTCCAAACCAAACCATCGCCACGATGGTGCACCTGTGACCCCCAGACACCAGCCGCTCCACTTTACCTGCCCTCCGCTTTTTTTGTTACGTTTTCTCTCCTCCTACCTCAGCTGGGAACAGACACTGGTGTCTCCCTCATGTCTCACACACACCCAGTAGACACCGACCCGGAGTGAAGATGCCAGCGACCATCACCAGCCGCCCAGAAATTTCCTTGCCAGGCTGTCATTTTAATTTTTTTTAAATAAAGTCTGCCAGTCACCTATCACTGCCTATGTGTCCTTAAACTCATACCATGCTACATCATCCAGTAAAATTGTCCACTATCTGAAATAACTAGAATTGTGTTTTGAAGCTGAAATTACAGGGATATTAAAAATAAATCGATGGTGTCATGTTATGTGAGCCCAGATCTGAGGTCAGGTAGCAGCCTCAGTCTCCTCCTGTCCACCATTTTCCCCCCTCATTCACAATCCTGCCCCAAGCAGACCCTGATGGCAGTGAGGATGAGGCCTGGTAGGGATGTCAAGGGCAAGGAGACCACACTGGGAAAGATTAACATCCAGAACCCTGTAGAGAAGAGAGCTGGGAAACACCCCCATCTGACTGTTTAGGGGAATCACTAAGGATCACCTCAAGGAGAGAGTCTGCCATGTTCTTGTTGTGAAAACAATGGATGCTGGTGAAGAATGTGGATACCCAGTGATACTGTCCTCAGTACCTCCAGTTTACAGTGCAGAATACCCAGTTATACTTACCACAGTATCTCCAGTTTACAGTGAGGAAAACCCAGTAATACTGACCTCAGTATCTTTAGTTTACAGTGTGAATCCCTCAGTCCAGCAGAGAGCAGCTTCACTCCTGAATCCCGGAGGTCATTGTTGCTCAGGTGCAGCTCTTGCAGGGGTGAGAATTTCGATCTTAAAACTGAGGCCAACGCCTCACAGCATGTCTCTGTGAGTTCACACCGGTCCAACCTTAAGAAAATTAAACACTTTTACATCCACTTTTTGGACTGAAACACTGCATTCAAATGAGGAGTATAGGGGCCATGTACACTACTCATGTCATGAGGCTCCCGGTTGGCTATGGGGGTCGAACCAGGAACTACCACCGTGACACTGTACTAAGCACTTGTAACATTTACATAACTTATGCATTTAGTCTGTCTGCAATTCATTGCCAAGTCAACTCCCTGGCTGTGTTTATGGCCACAGTATTCCCTTTTTACTGATTACATCTTCGTATTCTTCATACAGCTCTATCAGCAGCGTTTGTTCTGCGGCGGAAAAAAACACCGCTCTCGTTTTACACGCTTTTCGACTCATTTGATCGATCTATCAGTCATCCATTCATTCGGGCTTCTTAAATATCTCGGGTGTGCACACTAAGTGAGACTAAGCAAGTCTGTCTTGTATGAGCCTTGATTAGTTAAAGCTGAACTGCATTAGTGGAATGACATGAGGCTAAGTTTAGAAATGGCGCTAGTTTGAGTTTGACTTTTCAGGAAAGTCTGACTTTCTTTAGCTACTTTCATGGAATACCCCACAGGTATTGATTGGTGTCCAATACATTATTATCCACAACACATATCAAAGTAAGCTTGTTTTACAACAACAATAACCACCACAACCATGATTTTTGCGATCAGAATGCCTCAGTGTTTTCTCAAAATTTGCAAGAAATCTTGCAATTTTTTTATCCCCTTGGTAAACGCCATCCAAGGTCTACATAGGCCTAGTGAGGCACAAAATTAGTGGCAGAATAACAAAACCAACAGGCATACAGATTAATTGCATTAACATTTTTTTTTATTTTCTGTTCTTCAGTCTTGATGTAATTACCTCAATAATACCCAAGACTTGTGAACACAAGTTCACACTGAAATTGCCCACATCTTTCCACAAATGTTCAAAATGAGTCATTCTGAAAAACTTAAATTCAGAAATTAACTTAAAAACTTAAATTAACTGTCATTCTGAAAAAACTTAGCTTAAATGTAATACACTTTAAAGCTGAAATAAGATCTACACCAGAAATGACTAAATCCGTTGTGTCTTCCCTCAACTGCCTCAAAAACAGAGATGATTTTAACTTGTGGAGATCAGCTAACATCAACACAGCCCAAAACTTTTCACAGCTTTTTTCAAGTATTCAGTAGAAAAAGAGTGATCTGAATCAAACTGATAGACACAGAACCTCTGTCTGAACAGACACTTTCAACATTTCAGTGTAGCTGCCTTCAAACACCGCGTTTTCCAGAAATATTAATGTGACTTTACATCTCAGTTTCATCAAATGCCTCATCATCTGATCCAAAAGACCACACTCAAGCAGCAGCAGCAACAAGAACGTAACATTTATATAGTGTCTTTCATGAACCCAAGGTCGCTTTGTAGGGGGAGAAAAAAAAAGTAATCAGGAAGAGACAGTAGAGAAATGTTTATGTAAGAGAAATGTCTTTAGTTCAGATTTGAAGGAAGAGAAAGAAGAGCAGGAAGAGCAGTCATGGAGAGATTGTGGAAGAGAGTCCATAGTTTGGGGGCCATGGCACTTAAGGACCTGCCACCCATGATGGAAAGTCTGGTGGGTGGAACAGCATGGAGATTATTACTAGAGGATCTGAGAGAGAAAGAGGGTGAGTAGAGAGTCAATAGCTCACTGAGGTAGTGAGGAGTGAGGTTATGCAGAGCTTTATAAGTGAGAAGATTGAACTGGTATCCAGTAAAGCTGAGAGCTGAGAGAGGATGGGTGTGATGTGAGCGAATCGTTTGGTGTGAGTGAGAACTCAAGCTGCTAAGTTCTAAATATACTGAAGCTTTTAAACAGATTTTGCTGGGAGGCCAATGGAAAGGGGGTTGTAGTAGTCAACTGTGCCATTGTTTTGTTTAATCCTATTAACTCTAATAACGTACAGAAATATTCTGCATATGTTTTAAGAATCAATGGTTGCTTCCTGCTTCATTGATTATTTATAACATGGATGGAGGGCTGATAAGTTTATGGGATATAAGGACATAGGAGAAGGTTTCTGCATTTATAATGTAACTGCTAAAATTCATTATGGGTTTTCTTGGTGTCCAGTTTCTTTAATGTAAAATACTTATTCTGCACTCACTTCAGCTTCTCCAGTTTACAGCTGGGATCCTCCAGTACAGCAGAGAGCAGCTTCACTCCTGAGTCTCCTGGGTGATTGTAGCTCAGGTCCAGCTCTCTCAGGTGTGAGGGGTTTGACCTCAGAGCTGAAGCCAGGGAAGAACAGCCTTCTTCTGTGACACTACAGCCTGCCAGCCTGCAGAAAGGAAATCAAAATATTGTTTCCTACAGCAGTCTACTCACATGTACTTGTCTATTCAGCTGTACAAAATAATTTCATTCTGTGTGAAAGGGAGCAACCAGTTTAGTGGCTGCTTGTCTGCAAATATAAAACTCTAACATAGTGAACCAACACTACTCACTGAAGCTCACTTTTTAATCTGACATTCCTGAAGTGACTGTGAATTAATGGTATTTCATTACCAAGCTAAACCATCCCATACAGTGGCTGTCCCACTTCACCTGAGACATGCCCCGCTAGTGCTACACTAGTATATATAAAAAAGGAATCTGGTCGAGGCATGTGTTCGTCAACCAAATTTTGTATGCGAACCAATGCATTTTTTTTTCACAAAATTTTTGGTCGTGAACCAAATTGGTCATAGGCCACAGCATTCGTGAACCGCATTATGAAGGTATGTATAACGACATAATGACTGCTTTAAGTAAAATGTTAGTCTTCCCAAAACGGTAGTGCGTCGCATCATTGCGGAAGCGAATATACACTTTGTTTTCCATCTAATGCGAATAATAACAATGTTTTACGGGTTATTAGAGATGCTTTTTCGCAGAAAATGTTTCAAAATATACAGTATGCCTCGTTACACACAGGGTTACTCTGGAATATTTTAGCGCACAACACTGCAACTTGGATAACCGAATCAACTAAGTTCTCGATTACAAAGATACACGATTCATTCTCTGTGTTATACCTATCCAGAGTTATGAGCCTTAGATTAATTTGTGTGAAAATCAACAGATTTTGCATTTGTCAGGTTCTCAGGGTTAATAAACATATGAATATTAAGCTGCTGTGAGAAATATAGAGGCATTTTGGTTAGTGGTCTTGACTGGTCTTGAAATAAAACCTTGAGTCAGTGACAGAGACAAGGTCGAGTCAAAATAAAGTCGTGAGATGAGACCAAGACTGCAAAAAGTGGTTGAGGTCAAGAACGGTTTCGAGTACTACAATATTACTAGTCAGCTAGATTGAGATAAAGTTTTTTCATACTGTACGGTCATTCTAGCACAGGGGAAACTCGCACAAGAAAATTCTATCCGACATCAACATCATAAAAGTGGGGTGTTTCCGACGGGAAGTGACGTTTTTCGTGACGTTTCCATCCGAGTACTGACTTGGAGAGAAATAATCGAACGCACCAGAATTTTCTTGTCCGAGTTTCCCCTTTGACATAATTTCAACATGGCGGCTTACGCACTCAACAGTAATTCTATTTTATAAATCTTTAAAAATGTTTATTTTGTTAAATGTATTAATAGTTATAAATGTAATTGCACGTGATTTAGAGAATCCCATATCATGACCGTAAACAGTATCCTAGCATGCAGTGTCAGATTTTTACCAGACTTGTTAGTGTCTTTGGTTTGTTTGTAGTTTGTTTGCCTCTCAAAAAAAGGATATCGCTATGAATGTACTAAAATATTTTAGAAAGCTTTTAAAGTGGTTTGACTAGTTCGTGGTTCTAGTTTGTTTGTCTCTCGGAAAAAATAATCTCACTCCAATCTGCTAAAATATAAAGCAACAACACACAGCAGCGTGTTCATGGAGGCAGCCATGTTTGTTCTGAGATGTAGTAGCTCAAACGGGGAGAAGGGTCGGGTGACCAGATAATCCATGTCAGGGAGACACTTTGAGCTACTTTGGGTTTTGCAAACTACTTTCAAATTGAAAGGCTCCTGTGCTCGGCTAAATAGTTCAGCTCTTCTTGTGCTTTGACTGGTTTGTTTCCTTGACTGAAAGATTCATCCAGCTGTTTCACATTAGCATTAGTGACACATGCACGATTATAGGAGAATGACCAATCAGCTGGATATCAGCGGCACGCCACGCGCCTTGTAGGCGGAGCCTGTATGTCTGTTACAGCCGAACAAAACTACAGTTAAAAGTGGCCCTGGGGACCAAATTGTTTGTCCGTTATAAGTGAAATTCCGTTATATGCGAGTCCGCTATATCCGATGCTTTTTCTGCATGTTCTTAGAGGCGCACAGCCGGGACCAGCGGACCTCGTCCGTTATAGACGATATTCCGTTATAAGCGAGTCCACTATAACGGGATTTTACTGTATGTCATAATTCCAGATCGAATATAAGCACAATGAGAACATGGGAACAGGTTATAGTGAAGTACAAGAATATACTTCAAACTATATGCTACTATAAACTACACTATAACTATTTAAAAAATAGTTGACATAAAAAATCATATATATATATATACACACACACACTTAAATATATGTATATATACTTCGCCTAGTTTGACTTTGAATATAAGGTGCTAATAAATCTTTGAGGTACAATATTCCCCCTCGGCTAAAGTGGTATCTTTCGAAAAGAATTTCCTCTGGGAGCAATAAAGGATCTTGCCGATCGTGCAAAACCCTCTCTATATGAAATTCTCTTCTTATAATATCAATCGGTCGCGCTTCCATGAATGGCGAGGCCATGACTGAACGGATTTCCATGCAAGAACACTGAATAAGTGTGTGAGCTAATCCCTGTTTACATAGAACAAACCTGCTCCGTGCAGCTTTGAGGATTTGGATGTGCTGCTATGACAACACATCCAGCAAGAGTTTCGAAAAACTTACAGATCCAGGATCATGCCAATTCTTCAACAGTTACATCCGGCTAAACGAGTAATCCACGTACAAAAAATACCCCCCAGATCACACTTAAAGCTTGGGCCTCTTCATTTGTCCACGCATCCATTATCATTTTATTTTTTACTTCATTTATCATTGATCTTTTCTGAGTCTGCAACTATTTTCAAGACAGTGTTTGTACTAACTTTCAAAGGGAGGATATTTGCATAACCATGGAATACATTTGCAAGTCCTACCCCAAAGTACTGAAGTACCAAAGAAGTACCCCAACTGGTTTAGCACTTTTGGTACTGGTACTCAGTGGAAATGGTAAAGTACAGAAAGTATTGTACCACAAGTATGGTATTAGTGCGGTGGAAAAGTGCCCTCAGTATCTCTAGTTTACAGTGTGAATCCCATATTCCAGCAGAGAGCAGCTTCACTCTTTAATCCTGCAGGTCATTGTCACTTTAATCCAGCTCTCTCAGATGTGAGGATTTCGATCTTAAAATTGAGTCCAATGCCTCACAGCATTTCTCTGTGAATTCACACCGGTCCAGCCTTAAAATTAAACACCTTTAAATCCACTTGTTGCACTAAATCACTGTATTCAAATGAGGAGAATAGGGGCCATAACGTAAAAGATTTTTTGAAAACAATTTATTTACTAAAAATCGTTTTTAACAATCATCCCATATTGATTGGTGTCCAATATATTTTCATCCACAATACACGTTAAAGTCAACATGTTTAACCACAACAGTACCATGATTTTTAAAAAATCCAATTAACTCTGCTAACCTACGAAAATATTCTGCATGCATTTTAAGAATGAATAGTTGTTTACTGCTTCAATGATTATTTCTAACATGGCTGACAAGTTTTTGGGATATAAGGAAATAGGAGGAGAAGCTGTTTTGTTTATTATGTCCCTGTTGAAATGCATTATGGGTTTTCTTGGTGTCCAGTTTCTTTAATGTAAAATACTTATTCTGCACTCACTTCAGCTTCTCCAGGTTACAGCTGGGATCCTCCAGT